AGCGTCTTGATGGCTCCATTATTCACTGAAAACTCGCTTCAACAACCCGATGAGGCACCACAGTGTTTTGTCATTTTCCATTAATTCAAATTTCCATTACTCGTTTTATTAATTTATTTGATCGCGTCCCTCTGCGTGTTTGTTTGTGTATTTCTTAGCCATGGATGGTGGCTCCCCTAGTTAGTGGCAAACTGAAATCAAATTGAAAATTAGCGGGATTGATATAGTAATCGTCTATCGAAATATAATTGAAAAGTTAAGGTTGTTTTATAAATAGATCAATTTTTTAGAGGATGAACATATATGTTTAAATGTGCTGAGTTTCTCCAGCCCAAATCTTGTAACTTAGTATATGTTAGTATTATTATAATCATTAATATCAATTTTTTATCAGAATCATTAATATCATTATTAGTATCAAACATGAGCAACAATTTTAAGAAATTCTATTGTTTATTATTTTTTTTACAAGTTATAGTACTCATAAATGAGTAATGTGCTCATACTGGACATTATTCAAAACCACTCAATAAAATTTGAGACTTCACCCCAATGTTTTGAAACTCGGACCGGATATCGAACCGGAAAGAGCAGCGGGTCACGATTCTCACGGTTCAACCGGTTAGACTGGCGGTCGAACCGGTGACATAAAATTTAAATAAAAAATAATATTTATATACATATATATCTATATATGTTTATAAACAAGACATTAATTTAACATAAAAAGACAATAATATATCAAGCAACACCATAAATCCACATTGCATAACATATTCTAATTGCTCAAAATCTCAAACAATGACATCATAAATCCAAAATTTATGTGTCAAACATGTTCTAATTGATCAAAGTTTCAAACAAAGATACCACAAATTCAAAATATGTCTCAAACATATCATTGCAAAGTTCACAACATCATAAATTTAAATTTTCATGGCTTATCAAATATTGGGGGATCTTGGTTAATCCAAGCATGGGCAGAATCAACATCTTCACTAAAGCTATCAACATCCTCATGAGAAAATAATTGTAAATCAAGTCCACCAATGGTTTCACCATCTACCACGTTACCTCTTTGCTGATTATCTTCACAAACAAACATTTAATAGATATAATCAAATTAATGAGAATCACATGATAAGTGATAAAAAAAGTGAAAACATTGAGTAAAGAATACCAAACCTTCCTTATCCTCTTGATGAATGATAGCTTTTGGTAGCACTGTGTCATCATAAATGAGATCTCGTTCTATCTCATCAATATTGAGTAAACAACAATCATCTATTCATCTTCTTCCATTACCCAATACTCAATCTTATCAATACTTTCATAATCAACAGGGTCCAAAGCTTTCTTCTTGTTAGCAACTCTAATAAAAACACATGATAGTAACAAAGTATAAGGATTCATGTAACTTATTTTTTATAGCTAGAAATGAAAGCAAAATTTTGACTAATTTAATAAATATAGACAAGATCATTCAATCTTTCATGCTCCAACTTATTCCTTTTTCTTGGAGTGTATTCTTTCAAAGACATTCCAATTCCTTTCACAGCCCGAGAAAGATGCAATTTGGCCTAATATCTTAACAGCCAAGTCTTTAATATTTGGACAGCTACTCCCAAAATGTTTCCACCATTCATCTATAATGAGAAAAAGTAAGTTATTAGAATATATTTTAAAGATAAAAACAATAACTATCAAAGATAAAAGTATAAAGTTTACCAGGTCGCATGGTTTTTATAGATTCTAAAGCCAATGGATGACTAAAGCTCCCACACCTTTTTTGATATTGTGTGCCCTCTAACAAAAACTTGGTCTTATTAGAAGAAATTTTTCTATCTATCACATTAAGATGTCCTTGCATAACCTCTGGCTTTCTAGAAAAATTTTTCTTATCATAAAGGAAAGCAGGATTGAAGAGATATGCTGCTGCATGAAGATTTTGTTGAAGTTGAGAATCCCACCTTCTCCTAATAATACTTGTGTAAGGCTTGTACAGAGATTTTTTGTGCCTGAAAGTACTCTTTTTGCTCTGTACATGCCATCATACACATAGCCAAGTGAAGGTTGGTCATCAGAATCAACAATTCTTAACAATTTCACAAGTGGTTTTACAATTTCAACAACAATTTTACAATTATTTTAGAATTGATTGTCCAATACAATCATTGTCACATCCTTTGCCTTTGAATCTTTGTAGTATCTAGATTCTACAAATGTCTTACTTGTTATCAAAGCTTGAATATCATGCTTGTGTTCATAGATACTTTTCAAGGCAATAAAAGTAGTGGCAAACCGTGTCGCTCCGGGACGGATGATTTCTGTCCAACCTTCTCTTTTCCTTAACCAAGCTGGCAAAAAGACATGGTTGTAAATGAATTTTAAAACCATGGATGCACGTGTTGCTAAGCTATTAACAATCTCCATTTTGCCAATATCTGATAAAATTAAATTTAAGCAATGGGCAGCATAAGGAGACTAGAAAGTAGAAGGAAACTTATCATTTAACAACCTTCCAGTAGCTTTTTAATTAGCTGCATTATCAGTTACCAAGTGGACAACATTATCTGCACCAGCAAAAGCAACCATATCCATGAATAAGTTGCAAAGATTTTGAGCATCCTTAACAATATTCGATGCATCAACAGATCTAATGAAGACTATTCCTCTAAGGCAGTAAACAAGAAAATTAATCAATTGTCTATTTCTTTGATCCTGCCAACCATCGGCCATTATTGTACATCCAGTCTCAACCCAAAAGTTTCTACATTCATCAATCAATAATTGCACCTCTTTTTTCATGTCTTGCAATAATTTGGTTCTCACGGCATGGTAAGTTGGTCCTTTATAACCAGGGCCAATAGCTAAAATAGCATCTATCATAGGCTGATAGTAAACAGAATTTACAACATTTATAGGAATGCAACAATCATACAACCACCTAACCACAGCTAAATCCACTCTATGCCAAGCTTCTTTACCTGCAAATGCACTTCGAATTCCTGGCTGTGCTCCCAAGGTTATCCTTGGGGCAAAGAATTTATTTCTAGCTATAAATGCCTTTTTTTGACTGATTGAGATGAACTTGGAGGAATTATTTCTTGCACAATTCCATCATCTACTTCCAATGGATTATCCTCTTCTTGTTTTCTCAATTTCTTAGTTGGTCTCTTTTGATCAATTTCTTTCAAGTTTTCCTCCAATCGATAGCGAACATTATGTGGCACACTTTTACAACTAATTGCATCTCCTTTTTTCCCAGCAAGGTGTTGTTTCATTCTGTGTATTCCACCACCACCAAATTGCTTTCCACAGTATAGGCATCTTAAGCGAGGTTTGCCACCCTTTTCATTTGGTATTTCAGTACAATGCTCCCATATAGGATCTGACTTAGCTCTAACAGATTGTGTAGATGCAACACTAGATATTTGTTCAGATGACATTTTCTAAATTTAAATTGAAAGCACAGATAAAATGTGGAAAGGAGAGCAGAGCCAGAAATTAGATCATCTCAAAATAATTAGATCATATCCAGAATTCCAGATCAATAAATAACAGAGCAACAAAAAATAAAGCAAACAAGCATATACAGATAAATGGCTGGACGAATCATCTAAACAATATACATATTACTCATTATACAAACTCAAATACATAGATAGAACATAGAAGCTAGAAATCGAACCTGGAAACAGAGCAGAGCACATCAAGAATCAAACAAGCTAGAGCAAAATGAGAATCACGCAGAGGCAGAGGCACGAGCTAGAGCTGGGACCTGGGAGGAGCTGGAGGCAATTTAGGTCTGGGCTAAGAATAGCGAGCGAGATGTGAGAGGAGGACGAATCAAAAATAGAGTACAATATGAGATTTGAGTGAGATTTTGAATTTGAAGGCTTGATGCCTTGATTAGTTGACTGGAGAATGGAGATGAGAAACAGAGAAAGGCGAGAGTGAGACCAAAGGTGTAACTGTGCGAGACAGAGAGACTTAAGAGACGAGTCTGAGCTCTAAGGGTATGACCGTGTGAGATTGAGACTGTGAGTGTGAGACAGATCAGGCGAGAGCAAGATGCCGAGACCAGAGGCTAGAGAGACGGTGAGGCTCTGAGAGACGAGTTTGAGGCTCTGAGCTCTAATCTAAGGGTGTGAGAGTGAGATTGTGACTGTGATTGTGAGAGGTCAGGACTCAGGTGAGCAACGATCGCGAGATGGCGAGAGTGAGGTCTCAATCTCAGCTCAAGTCGTCTGTGACTCTATCTACTACAATGAACTCAGAAGAGAGAGAGAGAGAGATAGACGAGGAAGGCGAGACTTGGAGAAGAGAGATAGAGAGTGCTCAAGATCACTCCGTGCTCCATTACGGTGTCTGGCAGTGTGGGTCTCCGTGGTGTAGTGTGGCCGTGTGGGCGGCTCTGGTCTGGAGGTTGTGCGAGTGCGAAACTGGGAATGCTTTCTTCATCTTTTAATTTTATTTTCCTGAGTGCTGAGCCTTGGATTGGACTGACAGGTGAAGGTGACAACACGTGAGGAGTCTGAGCTGAGGACGTGACTGAGCCGTGAGGTGTAAGTGTGAGTCTGTCTGTGACACTGAGAGCCTGACTGCTTGAGATGTCGTGTACGAGATTGCGAGTAATTTTTTTTTATTTTTTAACTGACCCGGATTGACCCATGTTGAAACGTCTCCGGGTTCTGGGTCAACTTTGGTTCAATGAAAACCGGACAGTTCTATCCGGTTCAATCCGGTCCAATAGCTAAAACAGTTCAATTGGTTAAACCAGACCGCTTTACTCAGCGGGTGACGGTCGAACCGATCGAACCGTCCGGTCTGATCCGGTTTTCACAACATTATTTCACCCTGCTGGTGCAGTTCATTTGTTGTTGGTTGGTTTGTTTGTTTTCTTTCTTTCTTTCTTTCTTTTTTTTTTTTTTGGTCGTGGTAGTTCATTTGTTTTTGGGTCTACACAGTACACATTTGCTTGCTTTATTTTCAAAATTTGGTTCAAGGACGCGAGGCTGCTTTTCTCCTTGGTTTTGTCAAAGACTTCAGAAGACTCCGAAAACGGTTTCATATGACACAGCATTGTGGTCTTAGGTTACCCCTCAGGATATTTTTTCTTATCATCCGTGTTGAAGAAAAGCTTGCAAATGTTTTGCCCCTTCTCTATGGTTCTCGAATATCATGCGTTTGATCTATTTCATGTTCGAACTGACTAGGAGGTGAAAGAGCATGAACTATCCAGCTAAGGAAGACCGGGTCGAAACTTTTTCTAAATTTTGATTGGTCCCGTAAGATGAATTTCTCTAATACTGATTTGTATTTCCCTTGTTTTTGGATTTTGTTGCGGCAAGTGTCTTTCTGGGATTTTAGGGTTTTTTTTTTTTTTTAAGTTTTCATCTACCTTCTTTGTATCGATTGGGTTTCTGTTTTTGATTGCACAGCTCGTGATTCTGGAGGAAGTTTTGTGACCGCGGCAGGTGGGTTTGCTTCGAATTTTAATTCAAGCTGTCCATCAAGTGGTCTATGTTGACAACTGGTTGAAAATTTGAACAACTTGTTCAGCTGTTTTCATGGATAAATTATGTTGTTTTAAGTCTTCCTACTCTCAGGTAAGAATGCAATATCTTCCCGATTTGCCTCTTTCTCTGATGCTTCTACTTTAAACTTTGTGTTCGCTGCATTAAGTCTCAAAGAAATTTAGTTTTCGGTTGGGAGATGATTAATTTGAATAACCATGTCTATGTTCTTACTTGTTATTGGTCACCAGCTTTGTTGGAATCTTGAAATTCAATTTCTGATATGTGAATTTTGTGGGTACTTGTTTATCCTAGCCATCCTCGTGTTTGAAAGGGGGCATAATTTTCTCACCCTGTGCGTGCCTCTCTATTTGTTTTTTTTTTTTTTCAGTTTTGCATTTTATTGCATCACATGCTTAGTAAGGTTTATTTTGTTACTGAATGTTAGAGTTTTCTTGGATTTACTGCTTATGATATTTTTGAAATTGGTCTCAGGTGGAGGTTGAATGGTTTAATTGAATACTCTTACTAAGTTAACACTTATTTGAGAATCGCTGGTGATCTGAGATTTACTGCCATGAAGTCTCCATTTTGCAATTTTTATGCGGAAACATTTTGTTTTGGGGTATTTTTGAACACAGTCTCCATGTAATGCTCCTAGAAAACTGAAGGCGCTGTTTTTCTGACAGGGAATTGTAATTGGTTATTTATTCTGGATTGGTTAGAAAATGAAATCAAATACTTTTCCTCGGTTAAATATATCTGTCCCTAGACTTGCAGGACTTTTTTCTGATTAGTTTTGATTTCTTTGCAGCTTGTAGCTTCACGTTCTTCATCAAGCACGGGTAAGGGGAAAAATAATGAAGGATCAATAAAGTATGGTTTCTGTCTAGTAAAAGGAAGAGCTGATCACCCAATGGAGGATTATCATGTTGCAAAGTTTGTGCAGATTCAGGGAAAAGAGCTGGGGTTGTTTGCTATTTATGATGGCCATTTAGGAGACCGTGTACCTGCTTACTTACAGAAACATTTGCTCCCCAATATCATAAAGGAGGTGGGTTCTTCCTACCTTTTGTGCTAATTTTATTTGATATTAAATTGAGAAGGCTATGTTCTAATACTTAATGTAATATTTAGGAGGAATTTTGGGAAGATCCCACTGGATCCATCTCAAAAGCATACGAGAGAACAGATCAGGCAATTCTTGCGAATAGTTCTGATTTGGGGCGTGGTGGGTCAACTGCTGTAACTGCAATATTGATCAATGGCCAAAGGTTGTGGATAGCTAATGTTGGAGATTCACGAGCAGTTCTTTCAAGAAAAGGTCAAGCTGAGCAAATGACTATAGACCATGAGCCCAACACAGAACGGGGCAGCATTGAGAATAAAGGTGGTTTTGTCTCCAACTTGCCAGGTACTTGAGCTACAATTATTTCAATTTCCAGTTTCTGTGCCTCCAGGTGCTAGTTTCTTGAGAGGGTCTTATCATTCTGTCCAGCCTGCAGTCACATTTCCAAGGTGTTAGAATAGTGTGACTATGACGAGTTTAAAATGAGTGTGCTGTCTACTTGTAGGCTGGGCTTTCACTAGTTGTCTTATCCTTGTATTTGACATGACTTGTTACAAATGGGCATGCAAGAGCTTGAATTATTAAATTAGTGATCTCATTCAAATTCTTCAATCTTTTCCTCGAGTAGCATGGTATTGGAGTTTAGTATGATGGAAGAGTAAGCCTTAGTTAGCTAGTTGTTTTTTCAGGATGGAGCTCCAACCACTTCTCCAGGAGAGTTCTTGGCCCATTTCTTTATCATAGCTCCATTATTTGTTTTCCAACCTTTATCAAGTCACTAGAAAATTTTCACTAAGGTCCTTTTATAGAGACACCCAGCTTCAAAACTATAAGAACAGAACATATGATGCAAGTAGACATGTTTATGTCCAATAATGGCTGAACGACCTTCCTATTACCCCTAGAATTCTGGATACGGTGTAGGTCATAATATTCTTGGTGTTGTTTTTGTTTTGCCTGGGCTTTCATGGTGTTTTACTTTGTTTTTCAGTAGTTTCATAGGATGAATTAGGTGATGTGAGGTTTTGGTCTGTGGCTTGGAACCTTCATTTGTAGGGAAAAAAAGCAACTAGAAAATGTCATCTCTAAAATGTTGTTTTGTTGGGTTACTTGGTGTGTAAACCAAGAAGTAGAGATTAGTTTGAATGAGTGTTAGTGGGAAGGCTCAGTTAAGTGTTTTAATTACTTGAATTGCCTTTGTAGATGGCTCAATTTAAGATTGCAGATAGACAGGAGCCTGAATAATTAGGTCAGTGGTCCCATTTGAAATTTTCTTTCTTTCTTGCTTTCTCAGTTACATCAAAGTAATGAACTATGTTCAGGTTGCTTGTGCAACATTTGGAGTCCTGTAGAAGCAGGTGCAATGTTTTCCCCTCAGTTTTGAAGTCAAATAAGGAATAATCACCTAACTACGTGTCTATTGAGCTAGATTCCATGAACTTGCCACAAGAACGATTCAATATTTTGTTTTGGACGCTTTCATACAAATCGTCAATCATTAAGATAAAATACTGTGCAGAGAAACTGTTCCTTATCTTTATTTTACATGATTCCTAAGCTATGATCTCAAAATCAAGGGATTTTTGGTAATGGTGCTAGACTGTAAGTATGTGCTGTTGGTGATTTAAAAAAAAAAACATAGATCTGGTGTAGGAATGTATTGGTTGTTGCGTGCTTATAGTGTACTCTCTCCATTTTCAAATATAAGAGAAAATAACCAATTCACATAGTTTAAAAAAGTTGGTTAAATATAATAATTATTATACCTATAATTAATGAAACAAATTTGTCTAGTAAAAATAAACATTGGCTTTATTAGAGATGATTTAGGAAAAATGTGATAAATACTTCTTGAAATTTGTAGTTTTACTTATAAATAAAGACAAAAAGACAATGGTAGTTTTTCTCATATTTAAAAACAGGGGGAGTAACTATGTTATTTTTATGATGAGAGTATGGCATTGAGACGAGTAGATATGAACCCTAGCGTTAATAGTGATCTTTGATGCATCTCAGGTGATGTGCCTAGAGTAAATGGACAATTAGCTGTATCACGTGCCTTCGGAGACAAGAGCCTCAAGACACATTTGCGGTCAGACCCTGATGTACGGAATACTGCTATAAATTCTGATATCGATATTTTAATCCTGGCAAGTGATGGACTGTGGAAGGTGAACTATTGCAGCTCAAACAGTTGTTACCAATTAGAAAAGGCTATGCTTGTTTAAATATATCTTGCATTTAAAGTTCTTTACTATATACAACAGGTTATGTCTAATCAAGAGGCAGTTGATGTTGCTAGAAGGATGAGAGACCCACAGAAAGCAGCTAAGCAATTAACGGCTGAAGCATTGAAAAGAGACAGTAAAGATGATATATCTTGTGTTGTGGTTAGGTTTAGGTGATGACATCCATGTTTCTTGCTGGGTGCAGTTTATACAAAAAAAAATTAGGTTATCTTTGCAGGGCTTGCCAATTTATGAAATGGACTAAACGACATACATATATATGACTCACACTACATACTCAGGTGGGTTAATCTTGAATGAGTACTCCTGAATCAGCGACACGCGGTAGAAAATGTTAACAAGGGTTTATTCAGCTATAAAACTACCTGCTTGATGAGGTTGTCGGGTTTGAGATTGTTTGATTTCTTTCTTTGAAGGTTGATGGGAATCTGCTGTATATTTGGTTCGTTTATTCTGCACGTGACCAGTGGGCTCTGTGTCGGTAAGGAAAATGCGTCTTATGGGGATTGATTTTATACAAGTTTGAATGGAGATTGTTTTGAGATTGAAATGGACAAGACACGGATCTTTGACTCTCTTCTATGTTGCAGCATGGGAGGGGGTCTTAACTAAAGAGTGGCAAGTTGATCTGTATTTTGTATGTAGAGATGCAAATCAGTGTGCTAATATCATGGCTAGGTTATCTCATAACTTGGTGACCTTCGGATCTTCAATTATTCCCGATCTTGGTGTGAACAGGTGCTCGTAAATTTTTAACTAATATTATAAAGATTTTTAATTATTTTTTATTAATTTTTCAAGTGATAGTAAAAATATAAGTGATTGACTTGTGATTTATAATTGGTTATAGTAAATTTTTAACTGATATTATAAATAATTTTAAATATATTTAATAGATTTTTCAAGTTATTTATTTATATACTGACAACAAAAAAATTATGAGTAATTGGCTTTTGATTTATAGTTGATTCCGGTGAACTTTCAATTAACGTTACAAATGATATAAAGTGTATTTGTTTGATTTTTTATGTGGTTTATTTATATATTGAGAGGAAAAAGGTTGAAATTTACAATTAATTTTTATAAATTTTTAATTAATGTTATAAAAAATTTGAGGTGTATTTAGTAAATTTTTTAACTAATTAATTATATTTTTTAATTATAAGTAAGAATCATGATTCATTATTGAAATTTTAATAATTTAAGGTTTTTAGTTGTTATTAATGTTTTTATGTGGTTCCTAATTATCATTTTTCTCTTTTTTTTATGTATATCACAAATAATGATATAAACATCATAATTAAACATTAGTTAATTAATATGAATTAAACATCCATAATTATATACTATGAAGTTAACCATTAACTGTGTATAATTATATAATATTTATAAATTAATTATGATAATCAGACAACTTACATACATACATACATTTTAAATATTACACACGCATACTGTACTGAGCATTAAAAAAAATAAATAAAATAAAATAATATGAAAGCAAACTTATCTGTCCATTATTACACATGAAGTTAACCATATAATTGTATATTAACTGTGTATAATTATATAATATTTATAAATTAATTATGATAATCATACAAACATACATACATACATTTTAAATATTACACACGCATACTGTACTGAGCATTAAAAAAATAAAAATAATAAAATAATATGAAAGCAAACTTATCTGTCCATTATTATTTTTCATCCACTCCAATCAAATCAAATAAGATAATATTAAAATTCTTTATCTCTCCTCTCTTCCTTTGAAATCTTTCTTTCTCCCTTTCTTGGTGAACAAAACCTAGGAGGCTGAAAGATAGAAATTTATTTGTGAAGTTCTAATTCCAATACTTATTGTTCTAAAAGGTTGGGAAGGATTGCAAAAGTAAAAAGATTTTTTTTAAAAAAAATATTTTTTTAGACTGAAAGTAGGCGTAAAAATATATTAGGTTGAGCTAAATTTTAACCAAATATGTCTGAGCTTATACAATAAATTAGAGGCTTAAGTTTGTATAAGACTTTTTTCAGGCCTGAATTTACTTAAAGCTTGGCCTGATTTGAAAAACCTACTTAAAAGTAAACATTTTAAATAGGTTTGCATTTTAGTTTTAAACGTTTCAAATATACTTTAAGATTATTATAACATATAATATATAACCTGATTTATTAATTATAATTGTAATAATTGAAAGGCCTTACCAATTATAACACAATATAACAATAAAGTAATGACATTAAGATTAATATATAAGTCTAATATGATTGCAAATATAACTAGAAAAAAAAAAATAGATTGATTAAAAATTAAATGATAAAATTAATGTGCTTGTGATATATTACATAATATATATATATATATATATGTGTGTGTGTGTGTGTGTCCATTTATTGGGCTCATAAGTTAGACTTTGAAAAATAGACCTGATCTATTTAATTATTTATGTTTTGCTAAAAGCCTCGAACTGGCTTGAGCTTATTTAATAATTAAATTAAGTTAGGTTTAAAATAAGTTAGATTGTAAAATTCTATTAAAGATTTAGCCTATTCTCATCCCTAATTGAAGGTAAAGGGAAAGTCATGATTTTTTACGGAAGTATTTTAAAAAACTTCTATAAAGCACTTTTTTTTGGGGTAAAATCCTATAAAGCATTTTTGTGGACCTTGTTGGGCCATTATTTACGCATGGATGTTGTCACCCCAAAAGAGAAGCCCACATTAGTAGAGGTCCATATTGGACAATTCTAGGGTTTCATATCCTTTCTATATATATCCACCATCGGAAAACCTTATTCTCACCTCAACAAGGTGTTATGGTCTTAGGCTCGTAGCATATCTTTCATTGCTGTGTTCTGGATTGCTGCGTTTTGTTGGTTGGTTAGTTGTGTGTGTGTGTGTGTGTGTGTTTGTTGGCGGTAATATGATAAGAGTAGATAACGATGGTAGCGTAGCATAGTGTGAAAGCGAATTGCCTCTCCTTTCGGCTGCAAGGGCTGAGATCTTAAGATCGATTTCTTGACGGCTTTGTTCTGGAGGCATACATCCATACTCTGACCAAAGTCTCTGAGGGACTCATCTTTATCCAGATTGTACTTTCCTCCTCTTCTGGATTTCCCATTTTGGTTACATTTCCTGTTCTGTCCGTGCTTTGGATAGATTCATGTCGAGAACCGAAATAGATTAGATTAGATGATATATAGAGTTGCTAGTTGTACTTTTTGTGCTGGTTTGCTGGCCCTCAATCTCGATTTGGATGAACAGTTTTATCTTAAGTCTTTGTGAATTTGATTTTGGGATAGGTTATTGCTCTGATGTTGGTAGCAACCAGGGATTAATCATTAGATTTAGCGATCTCCATTTTGTCTGTTTTTAACATGTTAATGCAAAGTATCAATTAAAAATATAAAAAATAGATTATATAAATACTTTTATTAACAAACTATCCTTATATGTAATTAAAGGATTATCGCATCACACACACACACTATACACAACCCATCTCTTTATATATGTGCTTCCGGGTTTCCATCTATCTGAAATTGAGTGGAAGGAATGAAGCCATGCAACAAACCCACTTGCTACCATATTAACCTCACGTTGGCCAACAATTTCTTCTTTGGTCCAATGAAATGGAACGGTTGGGAATGAAATGTGAAGATGATTACTATGGTGAGAGTGTTTAGCATGGCTTTAGCAAAATGTGATTTTTTTTTATGTCAAATAAAAATTATTAGGCAATGACCAAAATGCCCTTGAGCAAATAGGAAAATTTCATGATGCAGAACAAGGCATCGCATAAAAAGGTTTTATGGGCACAGTTGGAATTTGATGTGCCCGTGTGCTCACCATCCTCCCAAAATCAGTCCATTCAAAGCACCCAAAGAATGTCTTGAAGAGGAATGATGACGGATTTCAAGATCGGGATTGTGGGTTCAGACCGAACGAGAAACATGTAGGTGTTAGTGGTGTCGTGGGTTCAGTTTCAAGAAAGTCGATGTCGGGTTCGTGGGTTCAGATCTGGATTAGGGAAGAACGATTTCAAGAACAACATGTGGGAGCTCATGGTTCTGGTTCAGAGGGTGGCTTGGAGATCCAGAACGAACCATTTTTGATTTTGAAGGAGAAGAGGACGAAGTGTCGACGATGAGAAAGGAAGGTGGTGGTGGGGCATCGGAGAAGAGGTTCGCCGGTGAGGGTTGTGACAATGTGAGGGAAGGTTGTCGGAGATGAGGAGACCAACCAAGATGAGGCGGGTTAATGAGTAATGGATATATTCTAAATATGTACTCATCCTAGATATTTAATATTTTTAGATTTTTTTTTATTTTATCTTTGTATGACTAATCCTCCTTTCTTGTGCAACATGAGAATCTTTCATTTCCTGATTCCATTGGCAGCTTTATATCATTTTAACTCTTTTACATGACATCTATAGTTAAAAAATCATTGATATAAATACTCTCTTTTTAATTTAATTTATCATTGATAATTAGGGTTAAGATAAAAAATTATAGATATAAGTAAATTTTATTGATATGTAAATTATAGTTAAAAATTGCTTACAATTTAGATGGGAGAGTTTACATCCCGTTGTTTGAACTAATGCATTTGGTAATCCTTTACATTGAAAGATAGCAAGTCTTGCTCAAAAAGAAAGAAAGATAGCAATTCAATGTAATATACTCATGCAATAATAAAAATCCATTCGCAAAAAAAAAAAATGATAAAAATCCTGTCGTGCCAAAGCATTTGAGGGGGAAAAAACACTAAAAAGACAAGCTTCATTTTAACAAAAAACTTCGTGCAACTCTTTTTTTTTTTTTTTTGGTTGGGGGTGGGTGTGGGGAAGTAGAGCACTAAACGGATTAAAAAACAAAAACTCTGAGCACAATTCTTATTCTTTTTAATCCATCCAATACACAACAACAAATCCTAAATCACGAAATAAAGCTGATTACTTAATTACATTGAATGACATGATGAATGACATAATGTCATTCCAAATCTATTGCAACTGATAAGTAGCTCTTAGAGCCATGATAGCAATCAAACCAAGTGAGGGGGGTATCTTTTTTTTTTTTTTTTTTTGGTTTTCCTAGGGACCACTCTAATTTCATGGCCAAGCTAAGGAAATCCACCGTCTTTTCTGCCAATCACAAGATCCTGAGATTTTCAATCAGTCGTACCAAGATTGCTGACGTGATCACGTTAAGAATCCTTTTTCGATTCCTTTTGCATGGTTTGGATTCTTGAATGCCAATCATAACAACCTTATACTTCCTCTGTGGAATGACCCTCCTCTCTGTTGACGATAAGGTGAGAAATTACTTAATTCAAATGTCGTGTATTTGTTAGACTCTCCTAAGCATCATGAAACTCTTCATCCTCCCTTTCCTAGACCATTCATACTTGAGAATTCCTTCATCGATTATCTACCAGACTACTACGCATTTCTCCCCGAGTGGCCTATTTCACATGCATGTTATTAGAACAAAGTTCTGGAGAATGCTACGTGAGATATTGTTTTGTCAAGAGTAACAGCATGCTTTGTGAGAAATTACTTTGTTAGGAGAAACAGCATGCTTCGGCCCTGGGTCTATAGTAGGCAAAGGCTTGGAATCAGAGATGTCAAGAGTGATGGTCCTTCGGCTCGTATAACTTGAATAGAGATTACAAATTAAGGGCTTTGGCCCAAAAAAAAAAAAAAACAACAGAGAGGGAGACTACAAATTAAGGGTTGTTAAAATGAATGACTTGAATCAAGGTCTCTTATTGAAGATGTACCGCTTACATCGCATAGACTTAAAGTATAGGTGGAGTATATAAATAGAGCCAAACTAGAAAAATGGTCATTGATCCAATCCAAACAACAAAACAACAACGAACCACTTCAAAGGAAAACCAGTCAAGAATCAGGACAACCAATAATGAACTAGTTAAAACCAGTGATGCAACTAGTTCAAACATGTCTAGTTTTCAATTTTTATTTGCATTTCTAACTTATATGCACGCAGTGGCGCGTTGGGTTGCATTGCACCCCTTCACTTTAAAAAAAATTACAAATAAGATATATAAAATTTACAACTTTACACTTTTTACTCTTAATATATTGCACCCTTTGAATTACATGAAAAATATTTAAGTTTAAAAATTTATTAAATATATAATATTTTAATGATCTAAGTAAAATATGAAGAGCATATTTACAATAAAAAACCATACCAATATGTTTAATATAATTTTTTAAAAAATAAAAAATGATGATAAAACTATTTATATCATTATAATTTTAGTCCTAACATAATTATTATTTTTTAAAAAATATTAAATTTTTATTAAATTATTTCGCACCCTAACTCGAGATTTTGCCTCCACCACTATATGCATGTATATTTTTTCCCAACAAGTATATATAATATAGATATCTTATATCTCAAATATATTTTCATTTTTGCTCACTTTAATTTTTGTTAAATTTTTAAAATCAATTTTTATATTTTTTTTATTTACAATAGTTAGTAGAATATAATTAAAATTAAAGGTATACTAATTTAATTATGATTGATTAAGCCACAATTCCATCATATATCCAACTATTAAACTACGAACTAATGCTTCACCGTCTACCTTAATGGATGATATGTTTCATAATAGCTCGCTAACAGGATTAAACAACCAGGAAACCTCGATGTCAAAGCGTGAGCTACCTAGGCAGCAATTGATGGTCAGTTTCTCAAGGCAACTCAATATCGAATAAAAGTTGTGCATACTTGTGCAAACATTCAGTAGCCATTCCGTGCCTCAAATCTTTCTGCTCATATATGGCATCAACCATTAACACCTCGCCAAAGCATGCATTCATATTTCTCAAACAGTCATCACAATCGACCTTTGATGCCTTCCTTTTCTTTAAAAGGGAGAGGAAAAAAAAAATTGGAACCTATGAAGAGCACTCTTCGAGATGCACACTCATCAAATCCATGCTGATCAAGATGTCTCACGAGAGAATCACATCTGTAAAACGAGCCACGGAAGTCAGTACCATCAAATTTCAAAAATTCAAGCCCAAAAAGCTTTGATGGGAAACGATATAGTAGTTGCGTTTCAGTATGAGAACCAATTTGCAGTCAAACAACTGGGGGTCAGTCTCCGTTTGAGCTGGAATCTACAACATTCTAGTCATGATGGGATGTCAAGTTGGTTGAACAAGTTTTGTGGCCATATCAGCTAGGAATGCCTCCATGCGCAATACCAATTGCTTGAGGCCATTCATCTCAACTTCATTCATTTCGAAACCGAGTTCTAAATCCCGCATGCAATCCTGAGAGCAAGTATCTTTGGTCATAGTTGGAGGAAAACACCAGTGTTGATGCCAGAAACGCTCTTTGATACCAAAGATGGCAAACTTTCACAGATGGGACGGGAGAGAAATCCAACGTAATATTCAAACATAATCAACAGAACCATCCAATGAAGACAGGACTGCCATTAGCATCAGTGTACCGAGTATAATCATTCACGTGGTCCAAACCCCTCCCTAACGGACTAACGGCCTTCCTAAGTTTTTCACTCTCCTAGCTAACTGATTAATTTATTTAGCGCATATTCCCTTTTTGCCACATATCACATGATTTCCGTAATTTTTCCACATAAACACTACGCTATTTAAAACATTTTCTCCAGTGACCGATCACATCTTAGGTGCCCACAATACCGGCACATCCACTTACTAAAATCATTTACATTCCAATTCGAATTTCAAGATGTCAATAAAATGACAGTATTATGTAATAATTCATATGCACTTGAGATCTTACAATTTAAGAAAATGATTGACAAATAAAGGAAAAACACCTTAATTCCTATTTATAAAAATAAAAAGGATATTTAAAATTGTGCAAACTATAAAAAATTAAATGTATGAGTCACATAATGAAATTATAAAAAAGAGTGATTTGGTATAAGTTGAGATTGAAGATTAGTATTTCTTAAAATTAATTTGGCTTTATGCCAGGTAGGATAATTACAGAAACGATTTATCTACCACAGGGATTAGTGAAAAGTATCAATGTAAAACTAAAAATTTACACATAATTTTTATTAATTTAAAAAAAGCTTACAACCGTGTATCGAGAGAAATATTTGAAAAGCTTTGAAAAAGAAAGGAGTCCAGGATGCCTATATTAGAACTATACAAGACATGTATGAGAGGACAACAACTAATATAAGAACGCTTGGTAGAAAAACAAAAAACTTTTTTATAAAGATTAGGCTACATCAAGTATTATCTTTAAATTTTTTATTTGTTTGACCTAGTCCTATATATTTTAACTGAACATATTTAAGAAAAATTTTTCAAATGCATGCTTTTTTTGTAAATGATATAATTCTTATTACGGAGATAAGAAAAAAAATTAACTGTAAACTTAAGTTATAAAAAAGAGCATTTTCCGTTTAAGTAGGAATAAGATAATATTTACATTATAATTTTGATAAAAAAAATTAGTTAGTAATAATTTGAAAGTATAATTGCGAGATAACATTATACCTAAAGTAAAAAAATTTAAATATTTAAAAGCCATTATTCAACATGATGAAAAATTAATGGGAATGTTGCACAAAAAATACAAGCCAAGTGATTTAATTGAAGAAAGACTAAAGAATTATTTGTAATTTGAAAGATACTGAATATACTTAAAAATAAGTTTTATCGAATTGCTATAAAATTATATATGTTATATGATGGTGAATGTTGAACTTTAATAAGACAGTAAAAGCATAAAATTACAGTAATAGAGATAAGAACGTTGAGATGAATGTGCAGTCATACACGTAAAACTAAAATCCGAAATGAAAATATATTAAAAAAAGTGGATGTAGCATTTATTAAAAAAAATTGCAGAAAATCATTTAAAATAATTTGGATATATACAAAAAAGATCGTGAAGACACTGGTGAAAAGAGTGAAATAAATAATTTTAAGCCTTGTTAAAAGAGGTAAAGAGGGCTAAAAATAACACTTGTGAAAGTAGTTAATTAAGACATTTTAGCTAACAACATTCCTAAAAACTTGATAAATAATAGAAGACAATAACATCATATAATCTATACAGCCAATCTCACTTAATAAGATAAAATTTGTTGTAGGATCGTTATTTGATTATTTGTTTGTATTCTTTCTTTCTTTTTTTTTTTAATGTACTTTCATCATCTACAAAACAATCCATGTCCTTGGAGGGAAGAAAGCACCATTGGATTAGTAGATGAAAGCCTATTGTAAACATTAATCATTCCCACTATTTAGCGGCTGCACTTCCACAGGGCTGATCCCAAAATAATGATGATGATGATTATAATATGGAAACCATTTTATTAGGTTCTGTAGCCGAAAATTTTGAGATAAAAATCAACAAAACTCAGAAGAAAAAATCAATCTTCATAAATTTTATAATCAATTCCAACAGATGCGCTTAAAAAATGAGTTCCTAGAAATCCACCAGCTCGTGCATCAAACAATTTCCAGCAGTTACCCAGGCTATCTTACTGTAAATTAAGATAGAATGATTACCTTTTCTAGGATATAATCCTTGTTAGTAAATTGAGAATATACAAGCATAGGATTGTGGAAATTAGTTCATTCTGCAAAACTACCATCCACAGCTTGTTTAGACATTCTTCCATGAACGGCTTGTCACATCAACACCTGACTCAATCTGGTCGCAGCCAAATGCTAGGAATGCCCTCATCATTCTCACATATTTCAACTTGGTCACCCTTAGCCACCTTCGTTAAGCAAAATTTATCAGCATTATCCACTCCATCATGAGCTTGCTCCTCAAATTTATTTTGAACACTGCTGCTCAAAGGATTAGATACACAACCATCGGATCTTCCGATTACAATGCTTGCGGTACTACATGCATCTACTGCAGCATCATTGTTGCCAGACACAATGTCTAACTGAGGGTTTTTGCAGACCTCTTCAGCAGTTGTAAGGGTATCTAAAGTGCCAGAGAAGACAATATTTGAATTATTATTAAAAGCAGAATGGGGCTCATCACCACCAGTTGGCACGACTAAATTTATTTCAATGCTTCTGGTAAATGAACTGTCAATTTGGCAGCCGGAAACTTTGCTTCTTCGAGGAACTCATTTCCAGCGCAAAACTTGTCACAACGTCCTCATTATGAGAAGCAAGATCATCATTAACATCTTTAATTACTTTGACATTAGGATCAATATCAAGTCCATCTATTGTGTTCATACTATTAACGGAAACATCTTTTAGCTCAATATGAGAATGGACAGCTGAAAAGCCTTCTGAACTACCAGGAAGTTTAAGACTGCTCAAAACATCAGTTTCTGTGTGACAGTTGCCTGAGTTAGTTAGCCACCTGTCATTCTCGAATGGACTTCCACGTCTAATATTCACATCTTCCAATCCATCAGTAGCACATCTTTTCTCTTCAAAATTTGGAGGAAGCTTGCCACTTCCAAAATTTATCTGCTCCCCAAGGTCCTCCATCAATCTAAAAGGAATCTCAAATCCACTGCTTCTGAAGACACATGGCTGTGCATTTCCACAAGAAATAGTTTCAGGGCATCTGGCATTTCCATCTTGACTAACAAAATTGCCAATTCCACTTTTCATGCATTTGACAGCATTTATTTCATCAATGAGTTCACAATTACCATTACTCTTATTATTGGAGAAATTTCTGGCACCCAAAGGAGCATCAGGTCCGGAAGCAGCATCTTTAGCCTCATCCAATTTCTCATTAACTTCATTACCGACTTTATCATCCTCGGGAGAACATCCGTGAGCTGCAGTTTTATCATTGTGATCAGCCTTCAAAGGCTGCTCATCAATAAACAAACTTCTATGATGGTTGAAGTCAGTAAAAATTCCACAAGCCATGCTGTTTCCTAGTTTAGTACCAGAAGCCAGATCTGGATTGACATTCTCATCACTTCCAATTGATGATGATAGGGTGGCCCGATTTGCAAGATCAGTGGATACAGATGTGCTAGAAAAATGCAAATTACTTGAAACATTCATGTCCTTCATGTCACTTGGAGGGACCGAACCAACACCCTGTGGGATGAAAAATAAAAAAATAATTCCTTTCCTTCACTTTTATATTTTCAAATGAAGAAACATATAATTCCATAAAATATTGACTTACATTTTCAGGCGCCATTCTACCCAAAAACTGCAGGCTTGCATCAGTATGAATAGATTCTAAATTGCTTAGATCTTGAAGTCCAAAACAAGAAAGCAAGTACGAAGAAACTTCCTTGCATGACACAAACTGTCGCCCATCAGGGCTGAAGGGTACCAAATTAAGATGTATAAGAATATCATAAAAACTACAGCTATAACAACAACAACAACAAAACTATAATAAAGTGCTGATATTTTTATCCCAAAAACTGAAATGCCACACACAAGTAGAGACACATCCTTCCATCCATAGCAGTTGAATTGAACTAACGGATGAATGTAGTGAACTGAAGAGAGAGAACAGCTTTAAACATGCTCTGATTCTAAAGAAATCATAAATCTTAGATAGGCTGATGATGTACAGAAGACAGCCAATAAACACGAGGATAAGACTCAAAACATGACTTCCCTAACCTAAATGTTTTCAGAGAAACTTGTTACAAAAATCATCACCAATGCAAGGCAGAGTACACCCATGAGAAATTAATTTTCAAAGGCTAGAATTGGTTAAATAGCCAAAGCCTTAGCTTACAGCGTAAAATGTTGTCTGATTTACCAAATCAACATGGAAGTTTCCAGCTGCAAGAAGAATGCCGATGCTGGACAACTTCTGGTTCTTCATTTTTCCTTTGAAATTTATAAGATTAGGGAATGGTGAAATTGATGGAGAAGAATGATTTAAATTTTAAAATTTCATTAACTATGGTTTCTAGAATGATTATGCTTCTAGCGATGAATGATTAATTTTAAGAATTAATGTTTCTAGATGGTGTCTAGGCCAGGAAGGAAGAAGTTAAGATGGGGGAGAGAGATGGCAAAAAATTGAGGGAATTATAGTCTTTTTGTTTTATCATTCTTTTCCATACACACTATACTCTTTTGTTCAAAAATGTAAGACATTTTTAACCGAATCTCACCTTTCAATAAAGTAGTTACTTACTTTCAAACTAATCCTATCTTTCCATATTTACCCCTATTAAACACTCTATAATAAATACAAAGTCACTATCAACAGGAGCACTTTTAGAAAAAAAGCAATAATTACACATCGAAAAACTAAAAATGCCTTACATTTTTAAACATCCAACTTCTCAAAAAATGCTTTACATTTTTGAACGGAGGGGGTATATATATATCACAAAAAAATTCTTACAATTATTCCACTCAACTTTCTTTGCATGCCAAGCATACTTTTGAAAGCGTTTTCCTATTCTTTCTCCTATTCTCATTCCAATTTATTTTTCCAATTCCAATTCCTATATAATATTGTATGTCTCCAATAAGTGTAAGATTTCTCATTAAATTTCAAACATTTTTAAATTCATAAAATTCAATTTCTATCAAAATCTAACTTTGATTTCTAAATTAAAAAAAAGTTGGTTTAGTTCACCTCATAAATTGTAAAAAGAGCAAACATTTTCAATCCACGCTCAATTTCTTCATACCATTTTTTTAAATTTTTTTTTTTTAATCATGAACTTCAAACTGATTCGAAGTATTTTCATGGGCACCCTATTGGGTGGAGAACTTCTCCTAAAAGCTAGTAAACTTATTAAGTTAAGAAAATAAGTCCCTAAAAGTACCTCTTAGAGTACCCTGTACTATTCAATGTGAGACTTAGCAGCTCACTTTTGTCTCCATCAATTGGCCACAATCCTTGGAAATTGACATCTCAATAACTACATTTTGCAACACTTCATTTGACTTCTTTGTTAGTCAAAACTCTGTCCAAACCCTACCAGCTAACATTTCCAGGAGTTGCCAACCACAAAGCTCTTATTATTAGTTTATAGACACCCAAGTGAGATGGGGAACAAAGGCCCTTCTCACTTTAGGTCTAAGCCTATGCAGCTAATACTAACTTAGACTCCAATCAAACTCACTATTAAACTTAACAAGCAAAAGGCACTAATGTCCATCAACTCAAGTTGACATGATTGGGGCTGCTGTCCTTTAAGCAAATTGTTGTGGGTTCAATTTCTAACTTGTGTAGAGACTAGAGAGCCAATCTAATTGGGAAGAGTCTGCCCTTTACCTCCCCCTAAAGAAGATTAGTCTCCACTACCAACAAAAGATAAGGATACTCCGAGTCTCACCAAAAAAGCACCAATTTGCTAGGAAACAGCAAAGTAGTTACATTTGAATTGGTTCTTCCTTCTTCACATCCTTTCTCACTTTTTGGTTGGATTTATTTTAACCTTGAAGAGGCTATCCTAAAATAGTCTGCAGCCTATAATTCTTTTTGATTATAAAGCATATATCTAAAACAAGAACATAGCATACATGTTCAGTCAATGTAGTCGTACAATCTTGCATTTGCATATCTTTACAAATTACAAAGTCTATATGTGGCTCTTGAAAGAAAAACAAATCAAGCTTAGGTAAGGGGAACTTCATGCAAGCTTGAGCTTCATAAAGATTATTGAAATGCAAGATTGTGTCATTAACAACACGTGCATGATTTTATCATGAGTAGTAACCCCTTACTATTGTCTATTTTTGAAGGTGCTCACAATATTGTCACATTGAGTGCCATTTATTTGTATTGAATATGGTTTTCTTTACACATATTACCTAATGTGATATCATTCTTATTTGTCAATTTTGTAAAAGTATAGCTTTGATTGTTATATTTCTTTAGAGGAAGGATCTTTTACTCTTCAATCCAACCCTACAACTTGATCATTTTGATTACTTGATAGATCTTAGGGAAGATTTCAACCTTGAGTACCTTCTAACAATAACATTAAAACATGACTCCATGTTATTTAATTATTCTTTCGCTATATAATAAATTGAAGCTTATGATAGCGGGCCGTTTTGATGGATGGAATAAAATAATGGAATGCAAAAATGGTAACCAAAAGAAGGAACCATCTGATCCATTATTTGAGCATACAATAACTTGGAAAGAATAAATATCAGTAATAAAGAAGACGGGACCCAAGTCCACACTTCCCTAGCCTAAAGGCAAGAATTTCTCATGCCACAAATTAGTGTGAGCGAGGGCGTGGAGGCTTATTTATATATATTAAAAAACCGATCAATTATTTTCTTTCCGTTCTCTTCTCTTTATATCCTTTTTTATGCATATATTCTTATTTTAAAAATCACAACATTGGCCATCCCTTCTCAACACTAATTAAACATCCATTCATTTAAAAAAAAAAAAACATGTATATATATATAAAATCAAATACGCCCCCTCCATTCCTTTATGAACCACTCCTTCCCTTCTCCCCAAAACAGCCAGACATAGTCATAGCCTAGTGCAGACTATTTGCAAAGGAACGTTTAACAGTAATATTTCCATAATATCCCATCCAAGAATGACTATCATAGTCCTTGCTATTCTGTTCTGTTTCCAGCACCCAAACAAGTTGTAAAAGAAATAGATGAAGCTAATCTAAGTGTCATGCATTAACAGCTCCGACACGAGTGAAATGACGCTGAGCATATCCATGACTGACAAGGTACACAGATGTTCCATAATAATCAACTATGCACCAGTGCAAGCTCAATGCAATTATACAAACTAACGGTATCAGTTTTCAACTCTTGTAACTTGTGCGTATCAAGAAAACAAAATCAGAAAAGAGAGAAAGCAAAGGCCTTTGCTTAAGAGATACTATATAAAATAGAGAAAATTGAAAACCTTATGTAACGGCGACAAATTATCCACACGTGACCTGCTCTTCTCTTGAGAGAAAGCATGATCTTCCATCCTCTGGGCAAAAAGTCGCCAAAATCACCAGCCTGCACAATCCTCCTTCTCTTCCTCTGGCTCGCCCATTCTCCATCCAACCTTCCCATGAATTCCAACAATTGGGACTCCGTCTGCAACCCCTGGGTCCTCATTTTTAACTCCTCCCCAAATGGATCCTCCACATTCACCAAAGCAACTGCATTCACAAGAACACCGTTGTTGTCAACCATTGTTATCGCCTACCGCAATCCTCTTTTGGTTTCTCTTCCATATGTATTCCTGCACTCTCGTTCTTCCGCGGCCGCCCACGTTTCCGCTTTCTCTGACCACCAGCAACGATGTCAATTGGAATGTTTTGGAAGACAACGGTGGAGGACTCGGTCTCTAGGCCTTGGGTCCTCCTTTTTAACTCCTCTCCAAACGGATCCTCCACGTAAGCCGAAGTAAGCGAGTCCACGAGAACACCGTTGCTATTCAGCAAAGTCATCGCCTTACTGCCCTCCTTTCTTGGTTTTTCTTCCACACGTATTCCCACGTTTTCGTTCTTGCGCGGCCGCCCACGCTTCCGCTTGGTCTGACTGACATCAACGATGTCAATTGGAATGCTCTGGAAGGCAACAGTTGCGGAATCTGGTAAAGGATCTTGAAACTGGACCTGGACAGGAACGAGGCTAGTATCATCATGCTTAACGTCTCCATAAGACTCGACGCCGAAGAGTTGTTGTAGTAGAGCAATGATTTGGGTGCTTTCTTCGTCGATGGGCTCGGAATTTTGGCGGGGAATTTGAATGGGGGTGGCGTTAACAGAAGAGATTTGGTTGTTGCGAGGGGCAAGCCGGAGGCGAGAGAAGGTCTGCTTACGACTGCCGGCGGATTCGTTGAAAACGGAGCGGTCGATTTTGGGGATTATCGCATCGTCGTCACAGCGGCGAAGAATGTGGGAAGAGGAGCAAAGAGAGAGGGAGTAGAGTTCAGATTGGGAGAGGAAGCGGAGGTCGACGAGTGGGAGAGACTCGACGTGGAGGAAGTGGTGGTCGGTGGAGGAATCCACCGTGGCCATGGCATTGCGATTCGCCTCCGTCTGTGCAAGGTTGGAAGAGATCGGGACTGGCGATAACAAGAGAGGGCAGTTTCAAGTCGCAGAATAGTAACATTGATATATATATGATATGTATTAGCCAATCCGGTTTCTTTTTTATGCTTCAATCCGGTTACTTTAGGGAGAATTCCCCAAAATGACCAAATGGTTCAAATACTCATACAAAGTTCCAACCGTTTTAAGAGACCATAGTTTTGGAGGAGAATTTCATAAAAAGACTAAAATGCCTCTTATAATTAGACAAAAGATATAAAAGATGAGATTGCCCTTAAAATTAGACAAAAGAAGGCAACCCGAGGCTACGGCTAAATTAAATAAAATCCTCTAAGGGCAATAAGCATAACCATTATAAAAAGCGATCGATACCCTGCACCCTAATCGAGTTGCCTAAATATTTCAATACAAAATAACAGAAATTAAAACCAAAAAAAAAAAGCAAGAACATATGATATATGTTCCTGCTCTCTCTCTCTCTCTCTCTTATGTGTTGTATATATAGAAGGAGAGTTTTTATGGAACAACTAGATATCTAGAAATACAAAGGTGAACAATCAAGGCTAGTCTTTATACTTATCTCCATCCCTAGCCCTAAAATATGCCCACGTCAAATGAATCATGGAGACATTTGAATTGAGTCCAGTAATTTTCTATTTGATAAATCTTACTTTTGTTAGTCATCTTTTTTACCTCACTCCACAACAGTTGCTTCATGTATTCCTACATGATATAATGCCAACAACAATTAGTTTTTTAATATTTAACTAGACAACAACACTAAATCATACCCAAAAAAAAAGGTGGTTGAAAATTGCAAATTAGAACTACTTCACTTATATTAACACGAGTTTTCAAACACATTCATTTTTAGAACTTGCAACACTTGTGGTGAAGCTATATAATATGAATGCAAGATTTATTATTATTTAGGATAAAGGTGCAAACTTGATCATATATTATTTTTTAAGAAGCATCTGATAGCCTAAAATATCAGATGATGCAAAATAAATTATGAACTCTAAAAAATAAAGCATCTAGTAATATACCGTTAACTTCAACTGACAGACGTTATGTAAATCCCACAACGACACGTGGCACAACACGTTAGCATGGTAAAGATGCAAATTTAGCTAATAAGTATTTTTTTAAAGAGTACTGGGTAGCTTCTATTATGAAAAAAAAGGACTATCCAACATCTTTCCCTCAATTTTGATCAAACACCATTTATTTTTATACTTGTAAGGCTCACGAAACATTAATCTTTTGAATCTTCTTGCTTTCATTTTCAATCTCAACTTGAGAAAAAGAGGTTCAAAAATTTTTTTCTGAAAATATTCACAAAGACGACGCTAACAAAGTAAAAATAATCCGTGGCTAAATTAAGCTAGAATCAAGCTTCTTTCATGCATAATAAAATCAAGCTTCTATTTCATTAACATCATCTTTGTGAATGTTTTTAGATAAGAATTCATTGAACCTCTTCTTCTGGAGCTGATATTGAGAACGAAGGGAAGAGGATTGGAGAGATTAATGTTTGTGGCCTCATAAGTATGAAAATAAATGGTGTTTTATCAAAATTGAGGAGAAGGTATTGGATGGTTCGTATTCCTATAATAAAGGGTATCTAGTGCTCTTGAAAAATAGTTCATGACTAAATTTGCACCTTTACCATACTGACATGTTGTGCCACATGTCATTATAGGCCCCACATAATATCCGTTAGCTGAAGTTAACGATGGGCTACTTACGCTCTAATTTTTAAAAGTTTGTAATTTATTTTACACCATCTAATAGCTACCAGCTCCTTGAAAAATAGTATATGGCTAAATTTGCTATTTTACACTATTATTTATAGTGTTCAACAACTTGTACCTTATTATTTCTATATGCATAGTAAATAGGGAGAATTTTAATTAAGGATAAAGGAAGAAACTTAATTTCATTTGAGTCTAAAAATATTTTAAAATTTCAATTTAGTCCAAAGGAAAAAAGTTAAAAGAAATTCGACAATAAAAAAACTAAAATACCCTTCACCTGTTATATAAAATTATTAGTTATTAATTTTCTTACCCCACTTGTCAATTTATAAATATGAGTTGTAAATTACATGAGTTGAATATCAATAATTATATAAAATTTGACATCATTTTTTCAATCATAAGCGACAACATCAATTATTAAACTGATAGTTTTACTTATTAATTTATTAACATTAAGTTATAAATTACTGACCGGTCTTATAATTTATTAACGTCAATTGTAAATTATTGATTGATCTTATAATTTACAACTAATGTTAGTAAATTAATAAATAAAGTTAATAAATTAACAATTAATGTTACTGATTGTCTAACATACAGATATAATTTATAAGTAATATTGATAAATTAATAAATGAATAAGAAAAAATGATTCTGCATAACACATCAAAGGTATTTTGATCTTTTTAATTATTAATTTTTTTTATTTTTTTCTCTTGAATTAAACTGATTTTTTAAAATATTTTTAAATTCACCTGAAATTAAATCTCTTCTCTATCCTCAACGGAAATTTTTCCTAGTAAATATGTATTTTAGTGATAAAAGGGGTTAGGAAGGCTTCCTTCCATGATAATTAAAAAGGATACCAATTGATAAATCTGATTTAATAGTAGTCCCTGAAAAAGAAATCCAATAGAAGAAGGAGAATACAAACCCTACCTTAACAAGCATTTAAAGCGCTTGTTATTAGAGATGATATGTGAAATTCTCAACATTGAAAATTGACGAGCTAATACAAATGGAGCCTGAACAAACCCATAAATAATGCAAATTGAGAATTAAAGGCACCATTACCTCGAAGGAAAATCATCTCCTACTGTCAACCCCTCGCTGAACAACAAATTATTGTCGCCGTCAAGGACTCGCAATGACCACCACCTCTTCTGCCTCAATGTCGCTGCTTAGCTCTCTGCTACCTGAAAAGTGCTTCACTAATCTTTCTCTTTATTTTAATTTCTTTTTTTTTCCCAACTCACTACAGGGGCAATTTAGTCCCTTCTCTAAAATACGTATCCCCCTCTAGGATGGGTTGATCTTATGTGCTTATCACTGTGGTGAGATATGGACATTCATATCTAAAGTATTATTATATGTTTTTATTTTATATTTATTAAAATAATTTTATAAATTTTTGCTTTTAATATGGTTTGGATTTAATTTGAAAGATCCAATTTAATATTAAAATTTTTATAATTATTATATATTGACCATTCAAATATACTCTAGAATTATGGTCTCCAATCAGATTTAATTGAAAATGGAGACTTTTATCCAAATATTTAGACTTTGTTTTATTTTTCAGCAAATATTTAGGCTACCTGATCCTTTTGTTCAATTCTCCCTTTATTTTACCTTTATATATAATATAAAGTGTAAAATCGTATAATCACATCTCATTAATATTATATGTCACCTTAAATTTTATAAGAAACGTGCTCATGAATCACTAGTTGATCACAAAATTAAAATTATAACAAGGATATATAATTTTTTGTTTCCCAACGTTGGATCAATTTCAAAGTCTTATAGAATTTCCTACCTAATTAATTATCTTGACTAGTAATTAACAATAAAAAATATATTCTAAATTTGAGTTCAAGATTACATTTAATAACATAGTACTATTAGGGGGGGCTTATATTGAGTGTAAATAGATAAATAGCATTTATTTTCATAAAATATGTCATTAACAAGTATTAATTATTGTAGAATCTCTGAAAAATAAAGTGGTAAATAATCAGAGAGGAAGGACTTGGTATAATGAGAATAAATTGGTAAATAATATTTATTTTTAATATAATTTTAAATTAATAGATATTATTTTGAAATATATTAAAAATATTTATAACAATTAAAATAGATGAAAAGATTTGTAATGAAAGTGATTTTTTAAAAAAAAAAGAAGTTCACATTATTTTTCTCTTATTATTATCATCAATGCAGTATGTTTTTCAACAACCATTAGCCATTTATATTTCACATGAGAGAGGACAGAGTAAGGTTGAGTTTTCGACCTTGACAAAAAAATTTATATACTTGACATTACATATTTAATGTACTTGTTTTGAGTTAAATTAAGATACATGAATTTTTTATAAATTATTTATTCTATAATAAATTCTTGTTATTAATTTAATTGACATATTATGATACACTTGTCATAATTTAATTGGGTGTAAATATATTAAGTATATAAAGCTAAATACATATATCATATTCTACTTGTTTTTACTGTATGAAATTTTGTCCAACTTTTTTTTTTAATAACAAGGAAAAGAAAACCAAGCTAAATAATAGTACTTCAATGTAGCTACATAACTAAAACCAAGCCAGAAGGGAGGATTGAAAATAGGATGAAATCCATCCACACTCTAGAGAGCTTTGTTAGCGAGCAAATTAGTGGCTTCCTTAGCATCTTTCAAAATTTTTTGAATATCCACCTTCCTATTATAAGCAGTGAATGTTTTAATTCAATGGCAGTATCGTTCATCAAATGGCTTGAAAATTCCTCACTTTTTAACAAACATACAACTTCACAAGAATTAGATTTTTAGTATGAGCTTTCCGTAACTAAGATCTCAAATCATTTTGAGACCCCATATACACTCTCAAAGTTCAACATAAAATGAGTCATCATTATTCATCTTGAACATAAATCTTACTTTAAACTCTCCTTTTAATCACGAATCAAACTTCCACATCTTGAAATATTTTGATTTGCAAAAGGGCCCCATCCACATTTGGTTTAAACCAATCCTCTTTAGGTGGAAACCAAGTGCCACTCAAGATAGGATCTTCTTGTTTCTCCACACAGTGCCTTTCAACTTGCTGAAGTATTCTATCCAACTCATGAGTTTCTTTTCCAAGTTTTCTGAATTCATTTTTTTTTCAATGAACCCAAGGCTTGGTGTGATTCATCCCAAAGTCATTAATGGTGTGTTTAAATTAATGTCAATTTAGATTTGGATTTAAATTTAAACTAAATTTCTCATTTGGACACACAAAAATTTATGAATTTAATTTGAATTGAATCCAAATCCATTTCGTAGTATAATTTCTTTATAATTTCAACTCCTATATATCCCAATCATTTCAATTATTTTATTTTCTTCAGATTTTCACTATCAATGCCTATATAACTCCTATATCTTTTCTCATTTTGATATTATCTTTTGTCGATTAAAAAATAGAAGTAAATTTTTATTACTCCTAATTTTCTGCTTTCTTTTCAAATTTCAACTCATTACTCTTCTTTATTTGAGTTTTTAAATTACTCAAATAAAGACTTTAAACACACGTATTTTAAATGTGAAATTTTTAGATGTGAAATTTTAAATATAAAATTTAAATCCAAATACACACATCTAAACATATCTAAAGGATTTCAATTGGCTAATTCAAGTACCCTTTCAAATAATTCTACCATGATTAATCTTGCTCAGGAGAAATAGGCAAGGTTTCCCGTTGAACGATCAAGACAAGAAGTGGAGGAAGAGTGAGGAGCAAAGGAAGTAGGAGAAGCCTAGCCTTGAATGCACTTATCCACACACATCGTTTGCAACTTGTGAACTTTATCTACACACATCATTTGCAATCTGCAAACTTCATCAACAAAGTCCATCTCCATGGCATTAATGATCGCCTGCTCCTTTGAAAGCAACTCATCCATAAATTTCAAGAAGCTGGACAGCTAAACCACATCTTCCACAGTGTGCCCGTAAGTCATAAAAAACAAAGGATGGTGCTTGCTTGAGTGGAAATCTTGCAACCACGAGGAAACCCCAACTTGTTCAGCATCTATTGTATCCTATGAGTTTATGTCTAAGTTCTAACTTGGTTTTAGGCTCATCTTTCCCATTTACAACTCTTATTTTCGTTTCCTGTGATTTACGTGTTGTCTTTTTTGCCCAAGTTTTATCTTATCAACAATATATGATATCAGGAACCAAAAATAGCAGCGGCAGACTTTGGACTGAGATGACCATAGCAACCCTCACTTTCACTTAGTCATGCCTAGCAAGGTTTTGTATGGCCATCAAATGATCACATTGGCAGATTAAGTAGAGTGCTGCCAAGCTTTAACAGAAACGAAGAATAGTCTATAAAATGAAAGCAGAAGATATCTGTAAGGATGAATTAACCGCTGAGCATTTTATACACCGCGGCGAACAGCAATAACTTATTCTATCATCACCTTCACAATCTTAATCATGAGGCTGTGTAACTGTAATAATATTACATCGAAAGCAAAATCAAATCTACCAGTATACTCCCTCGTCTGCTCTGCACCTCGTTTGGTAATTAATTACAGGGCCCCATGCAAACCTTAGGACTGCACAGGATTTGTATCATTCATCAGGATCCACTGTTTCCTCTATGGTTTTCCCGGCTTAAAAAAATATTCAATCCCCACTTTCTATGGAGCTGTGAGTAAATGAACATCTCGATAATGAAAATGAATAGTATGGTCTCAATCCTAAAACTTCAGGTCTTCAATTGCTTAGTTAGCCTGTCTTTTAAAGAACGGTTTCTGACAGATCAGGAGTCTCTGATCGCTGTCACTTTCAATTTCCATGACTCGAGCATCCCACTTCAGCCGTGCTGTTAGAGTTCTTGCTGTTTCTATTAACGGAACTGCGTCACGGATAATAATCCAACCCTACAAACATCAATATCAGCATATGAAAAAATCCTTCAAACTAAAGTAGAAAAACCTTTTACTGAAGCTGCTTTTAGATTTCTTTGTCTCTAAATGCTGACACTTGACAATTTGGGTCGGACCCAGCAGCCACATAACAACATTAGATGCCACCTAGCGCATATTGCATGACGCATTTTTTAGAACTTTCTAAGATACATGTCGATGAATTGATTTACCTTGGGTTCAATTTCAATAAGAAATTCGATCTACAATATAACTTGATTAGATGGTTTAACAAGCACAGCCATCAGGGTGAAGGGGGATTTAATGACCAAAAGATGCTGCAACTCAATCATGTTCTAAGCCCCACCGGAAAATGGAATTTAGATAATTCCTTTCTCTACGGGCTTCAGGCAAGCGCCAAATTCAACTAGCTTTGTTGTAAAGATGTGCTTTAATACTTAAAATACACCTTTTATAGGTTTTGCATGAACTCTAAGGGGCCCAATTCGAAAAAATTACTTACGTCAGGCAGAAGCATTTAAAAAAAAAAAATTGTTGCCCTAAACTCAGTTATCCATGAAACAAAGTGAAGAAAAAAGCAAGGTAAGGGATGCCATGAAAGAATTTAGCTTACATACCTCTGGACGAAGTAATCTATCAATCTCAATGAACAAGTCAAGCATCGTGCATCTATGCTGCTGAGCAGTTCTTTGTGAAAGAAGACCTGCTACATGCACCAAGTCATAGGTTCTAGGGTACGTTGGAAAGGCCTCACACCTAGATGCCAGGAAAAGAAAGATCGTCATTGCAAGACAACGTAATGTAAGAGCGAACGACAATTGCTATGACTAGCTCATAAAGACACGAGTATACAGCAATAACAAATCTTAAAATTTTCCATGATGTAATTCATATACCTATCATCAACCATTCTGTTTCTCATTTCCTTTGCAAATGATTAGGTGCTAAATTTGATGTAATTTCACAATTCAATAGTTTCTAGACAAATACAATGCTTAGTATCTTACTGTGAAAAGAGTACTTACGGAAAACGTTTGGTTTTTGCTGTACAATACTTTAGTGAGTAATATTGCCTTTATTTTTCATAATCTTTCTGAATTCAATCATGTCCAACAAAACTCACAAACATTGAGATTTAATGTGAATATGGATTTTCCAAATTTCTTAAGAAATTACAGGGTCAAATATAGAAGAGACGAAGTTTAAGGCCCTGCATACAATAAAGGGACCCCAATTGACTCTAAAATGGTGGGTCTCATGCAAGAGATCCAAATTCAATATATCTACATTGAAACTTAAATCAATTGAAAAAAACCAAGATCAAGGCTTTAATACTAAGATTTTACAAAATTAAATTGAAAAAAAAAACAATAATTTTATGTACTTTGATGGAATCATGACCGACAAAAAAACTTAGCATATGGCTTTGGATTTTATATTTGACCAGGCATATATGTTGACGGAAACAGAGAGCCATGACATTGCCAGATAAGAACAAGAGAAAGGATAAATACCAATCATGCAAAACACCAACAAACCCCCTGTCCTGGATCAATGGAAGGTAATTGGGTCCACCGCTTGGAACAACATTCATTACCCACACAGACTTTCTAGCTTGCAGCAATGCAGAATTGAAACCACCCAAATGAGCATTCATGTCAAGCACATTTCTGAGCATATTGTAAGGAGGTGGGGGATCCTCATCGCCAGGCCTCTTCGGATGATCAGAGAATATTAGAGGTGACAGAAGCGACCAATAATTCCTCACCGCAGCTCTCCAGATTTCAGAGTCGTCAAAAAATTCTTCAGATTGCAACCCTGGTAAATTTAGACACATTAAAATAACCTATCGAGTACAAAGTTTCATTAGGGAGACATCACAATGCAATTACTTTCACCAAGAGATCTACAAAAAATTGTTTTAAGAATCTAATGACTACCATGGATAGCAAGCTCCTTCTTGTTCAAGTTAGCCCGAGAAGGCCAGATCCCCCTCTCTTCAATAGAAATCCATCGGCTGCTGTGAGTTCCTCCTATGCAGCTTTGCAGTTCCCGATAATATGGGGACTCCACATCATGACTTTTCATACACAGTGAGGGCCCAGAACCAGGCTTTCTGATTATAATAACAGGTAATTGTAATAATCAGCAGCACTTCTTATTTCTCATGTAGTAAACGAAAGTCTCTATGTAGTCTAGATGCAATTTAGTAGAAATTGCAGGATATAGGGAAAAGGTAAATTTTCATAACATATGCCCCCAGAAGCTCTACCTTGAATTATAGCAATCTCGTTTGCTAGTTTTCTTCCAAACAACTGTTTCATCTTGCTGTGACAACATTTCCCAGCAAAGATTTTCAGTAAAATCATGGATAAACCTCCAGCGTTTCTGATTCTCTTTGTTACGAGCATTTGTGAGTGGTGATGTCCAGACAAAGTAGCCAGCCGGTTTTAAAAGTCTATCAGCTTCAATCAAAAGAATGCCATCTATACCATGTATAACAAATTTATGGTTAACCAACAGAAGTCCAACAGTTCACATCGCTAACCACAATGTGAAAAAATATAATAAGATAAATCCAACTGGTGCTTTTGAAGCTAAGAAATACTTTTTCAGATGCTAAGTTTACCATTTACAGAATCACAAAAAAGGATTACAATGCTATGGGCATTCAAGTGAGATGAGAAACCCTCCCCAAAAGCTGGTTATTGAGGTGAAAGTAGCAACCACTTAAATACCCCATCAAACATTTTTCACTAGTCAATATGAGATGCAGGCATCCCATACCACAGTAACGTCCATCATAATACTGAATAGAAGAAAAGTCAATTATAATCCTTTTATATTTTTGTTATCAAATTCTCCGATAAGAACATGACAAGTGTAAGGTTTTTGTGGCTAAGCGTTACATGATTGAATCTTTTAAAAGAATTTTTATTTCATATTTTTTAAAAAAGTAACAGATACCAGAGATATAATTAACTGTATATAAGTCTAGTCCAACTAAGGAAATTCGTTAGAAGTCTAATTTTGCATAGACATCAGCAGAAAGACTTTGAACAATTAACTCTAGTTTGTTTGATTCCTCAATGACAATGGGCTGTTTAATGATAAAATGAAGAAGCTTATTTGCATTTAGTATGTTCGCAACAGTAGCTGGATGTAATATACAACTTTAGTTGGCCCCAAGATAACTTTAAAATAGACAGGAAGCCTGTATGCAGTCACTGACGAGATCTATTCATAATGCTTGGCTATCCAGGATCCCCAGGAAAAGGGGAAAAAGATGGAGATTAATGATAACAAGTGCAATATTCAGCTCACCTATTGAAGCAAAAGTCTAAGCTACATAACATACAAAGGCTACAAGAAGTAGATTAATACAATTAAGGCATGACATAATTTTTATTATGCTTTCCAAAATTATATTTACAAGTCAGAAACAGACAACAAATGCATAGCTTGACGTTAAATAAGCTTTGTGGATAAAAAAACATCACTGCAAGGGCAAGTGATAAAGATGGCTAGAACACCGATATTGATCAAAATGGGAAAGGCATTGAGAACATGTTATTTCTCAATATTGTAAAATCATTCCAAAACAGGGTCAACAGTTCAAGGTTTGAACTTGACTAGGAGAACAATACGAATTACAAGCAAAAGCCTAACCCCAAAAGTCGAACATATGAAGGGTGTAAAAAAATAATATACCTACAATACTTATAAAGTTTATTTGTTTGTTTATGAATCTCGTTTCTCCTTTTAATGACCCATTTGTATAGAACGTTTGCAAGGACAATAATAAAGACAAGATTTTGTTGAATAAGGCAGAACAGGATAGAAACATGTTGACCTTATAAGAAGAAGCATGAGATTAAATGCTAAAAGATACCTTTGTGGTCCCAATCAATACCACATCTTGCACAATGCAACATATCGAAGGAAAGGGATGGATATGGCAACTGTTTTGAAGTGAATGAAGCAATCATAGCAGGAAGACCTCTCTCAAGTGTAAGCTGAACTTGGCTACCTGATGGTTCATAGTTTGCAACGCACATGGTAAGGAGCTGACTTTGATAGAGGTGTGCTCCAAAACTACCATATCCACAACCTATGTCCAGTATGGTTCTGACCTGTAAATATTAGGATGCCAAAATGATCAATCAAAGGCCCCATCCATTACAACTAAGCACAAATGAATACGGTGACTATAAAATTAACTTGTATGAAGGAAATATAAACATATTAAACAAAGATTAAACATTTACATACCCCAGCTTGTATGAAGTTAGATTCATTTCTAAGTCCAATCATTTCTGCAATTTGATGTGAGTAGTCTTCAACACCATCAAACATAAGAGAGGCTGAACGAAAGGAAATTTGCTCTTCATCCAGCATCATCATCCTGTAACCATATGGTAAAATGGATGTGTTAGGATGAAAATATATTGAAAAGTAAGGCAGCAGGTAGGCGAGACATACACAGCTGCCTGCTTACCTCTTGGTTAAGCTCCCTGAAGAAAGAACCTCCTGTGCAGTGATCTTAACATTGGCAATCCAGATAACATCTCTTCCAGTAGGCCACCTAAGTGGAAGTTTGTAATTTGCAGGTGGGAGAACTAAACAACTTTGTCTGAGCTCACGGCCACATTGCCGGTCAAAATCATTGCTGTCAGAATAACCCAGAGCTTGATTCTCAGAAGCATTATAGCAAGGAACATAGTTCTCAAACTCCTGAGAACAGAATTCTAATTCTTTCATCTTTGAGGGACCACTAGAAAACTCTCCGATATCCAACAGGTCAGATACAAGCTTCTCTTGGAGTCTTCTATAACCATGGTAAATGTTCACTCTTGATGAGGTAGAAATTGAAATTGTCCACCAGAAAGATCCAGTAAGAGCAAGTATAACTATAAAAACTAGACTTATTTTCAATAAAAGCACTGCCAATCTATGCCGATTTCGGGGAGTGCTGACAAGGAAGGGATCAGATGTAAAACCATTCTCAGTGATGCCATGTTTAGAGTGAGAATTATCCGTAAAAAGCAACCGCAGAGGAAATTTCAAACCCAAAGGGCTGTGATCTGAAGAACCCCTTCTATCCATGTCTTCTTTTTCTGTTTTATTTTTGGATTGAGAGTCCGACAAATCATGACTGCTGTCAGGGATCCGAGATGCGCCTCGATGGAGGGGCCTGGGCATTTTCTGAACCAGAAGGTCACACCAAGTAACAAGGTAGACCCTAGTAATCTAATAAAACACCAAGAATCCGACACTGAAGTTATTTTCTGACATCAAAGAAATTGAGGAGGAAATTTCATCGGAAGAACTCTGCCTCCAGTTCTGCGTTTGAAAACCTATGAAAACAAACATACCATGTGAATCTAAATGACCTTCGTAAGAACGAGTTCAATTCTTAAGATATTTCAAGTGCAAAGAAGTCGCTGGAAGCAAGTTAAATAAACAAATTCATAGTCAGCAAACTGACTGCTCGCTCAGAACAGCAACAAGAAGTGGATGGCATAAAGGTAGAACCTTAATTCTCATCGCATCAGACTCATCAGAGACTTAAATTTGAAATGAGTATCTATAAACAGAGACTATAACTTCAGTGGCAACTGGAAATTGCTAGCGTATAGCCCAAAAAGATGGTGAGAAGGAGAAGTAATGTTCGAATAAGTTAAAGTTGAAGAAAAGCGGGCAATCAGTGGGAAACAGAGCAGTCAAATCGCAAGTCGGTTGTCTCGTAAATAAAGAAATAATAAATCAGTAGTGCATTTTTCGGATAAAAATTCACCGGGCATTTCATACTAAAATCTGATCGAAACCCAGAACTGCCTGAAGGCACCAAAAGACACTTGATTAGATCAATGCTAAGGCTAACACATAACCCAGATCAAAACCAGGGGGAGAAAAGCAAACGACGGGGAGCAGTTACACAAGCAAAGACTACCTCCTTTATAAGAGACAGAACTGGGAGGAAACAAGCACGTAATCCGAAAAATCAGCGTGAATTCACGGGTTGGTTGTTTACTGCGAGGCAATACGACTTAGCCTCTTGTCTCTTGATCAGCCTCTTCTTCTCCCTACTCTCACTCTCGTCAAATGCTAGCTTAATGCTTGTGAGAGAGTGAGGGATGCACACACAGAGACATGAGCACACGGAGTTTTTGTACTGATCCGATCACGTCGCTGGCCCGAGCACCCGGATACAGATCGGAATGCTAATAAATTAATGCCAAAATAATACTAATTAAAAAAAAAAAAATCGGTTCGTAAAAGGTAACTGAAATTACTGATTTTTTGCCCCTTACAGGGTATGGCTAATCGATTATAGTAGTTACGTTACAATTAATGATATATTTAAGATCTACTGAGACAATATTGTAGCGTGAGAAATCATGAATAAAGTGGAGTCTCATAGCAGCGTCCTATTCTAGTGAGTGATAACTGCATTTGCAGCCCCCCTGGTAACCAAGCCGTGATTGTAGATCCGGGCTAAAGTGTTCATTATTTGAACTCACTAATTATTTGCAGTTCTGCACCCTTTGAGATATGGGCAGACGGGGAAAAACTCATAAAAGTCACTAGTTACCTTGATGATCAATCATGTACAACTTCCATCGGACATTTTGGCACAAAATGCCGCCCGACCCGTTACTTAATCGCGCCTCTTTCTTCCCTATGAAGTATGAAGAATCTTTCCTTGCTCAAGGAACAAGGTAGAAATGGCAGATCTAAAAAGCCTGGATGACTCTCCTAGCTTATATATTCATGTAATTCTATATATAATGTTCATCGGCATGTTTGACTTGAGCCGGAAGTGGCGGGCACTAACCCACGACCTATTTTAATAGCCACGGTCAATGAATGCGAGCACCTCCACGCTTGCATGAGGTCACGGCTCGGCTCAGTTAATTTTGCGCGAACTTTTGCCGGTTTGGCAGAAACCCACACTTATTGCGTTAGGAGCCAACCCAATTTTTCTCTGTTATTGCAAATTCACCAACACTGGGAAATAGAAATACAGCCGAAATAAAAGAAAATTCCAAGTGCTGGACTATTTGCGTGACTCGGACGATATGGCTGTCGATGAAATCGATTAAGCTTTTGGGTGCGAGAGGACATTAAGGTTCATTATTATATTAAATTAGACAGACAGATTTTCAAAGCGTAATTGCCGATCACTGTAATGTGCAATCATAGTGTGAGCTGAGGCTAGCTGAGTTCTACAGTGTAAAGAAAATGTTGAGTGCAAAAAGACAACCAGCTCAGAACTGTCCATTTCTTTTTTCCTTTTTGTTGTCTAAGATTCTCTTTTCAGGTAAAATAATAATAAGACGACTGTGTTCTAGTAAGGAAAACAAGAATTGAATAATTAAGGTCCAGCCACTCGTCACTTTCTTTAGCATTTAGCGTGGATCTAATCAAACCTTTTTCATGTTTTTTAAATTCAAAACTTTGATGTAAAACATATAATAATATAAATATAACATATATTTATAAAACGCAAGGAATCCACTGCATGAAAACCAAAATAAGTGTTTATTTCAAAGATTTTATCATCGCTTTTTATTGGTTGAAATTCTCATTCCGTTTATCTGTACGAGAGAACACATGGACGCCGAGGGAAATGGATCGTCCCAATGATGAAAGAAGGGAATGAAATAGAAGTAGTTGCAGGGCAAGGGTGTATTGGAATGAATATACGGTGGGAAATATGATTTGAGTTGAGAACACTGTTATTAAAAGTTATTTCATCACACATGGTTAAATGCAGTGGCTCTCCATGATTAAACAAATCTTTTTTACTAAAAGCAGGGTCTCATAACAGAGAGAATCATAAAATAATTTAGGAGAAGCATGAGAAGGGGAGGAGGGGAGCTAGAATGCCCAAAAGCTTAAGACAATATATCCAACTTTGCAGCTTGCACTACCTTTTTTAGATAAAAACTTATAAACATTGGGCAATTAAAACATTGTTAATAACACCTTAATACTATTAAAAAAATAATTTCAAGAAATAATGAAAAATAAACAGTTTTGAATAGTGATCGGTATTGTTAATGAATTCACAATTCCTTTTGAAATAACATAAGATGTTATTAAATATCCAACAACCCCCATATATTTCAAAAGGGAAAAACTTTGAAAACCTAATTTATACAAGTAATTTTGTAACACAGCAAAATAGTTTCAAAAAAAAATTGTCTAGGACCACATCTAATCTAATTCATGCACACTTGTATGTGAAGGGAAGCAAGAGGAGGGGAGGGGTCAATCCAACTTTGAAATCTACACTGCCTTTTGTATGTGAACATTGGGCAATTAAAACACCACTAATGACACCTTAATACTGTAAAGACGCTTTCAAGAAATAATGAGAAATAAATAATTTTAAATAGGGATTAATATTATTAATGAATTCATAATTCCTTTCGAAATACCATAAGATATTATTAAATAGAGTAAAATACATTGATCTCTTCTCTATTTTACATTAATTATACGTATGTCCCTTCTATTTTAAAAACCTATACATTTAACATACCTCTCATAAAATCAATAATCACAAAACACAAACCTTCCTCTTACTTTAAATATTTTATTTTCATTAACCCAAACTGTTAATTGATCATTAAGTCCTGTTTTTTAGACCAAATTACCTCTCTTTAAACATAAACATTAATATAAAAATAATTTAAAATACCAAAAAAATTAATGCATATATTTTTTAATTCTTATTCATATTTTTTTTTATTTATGTAAAATTATTTATTTATTATTTTTTAAAGATAAATACATAAGTTGGATAAGATAATATTTCAAACACACATGTCAAAATAAAAAATCAACTAAATATGTATTTAATTTAATTAGAGAAATTATTTAATATAATTTATGCTTATTTTTCTGTAAATTTTATCAATTTCAAAAAATATTTTTTAATTATTTATTTAAATATTGTCTTGATCAATTATTTAAAGTTCATTAAACTTGGAGGGAGAGTATACAACTTAATTATAAGGACAAATTAGAAATTATAAATTTTTCAACATGATTAAAAAGAAAAGGTTATTCAACGAAATATTTTTAATGGTGTTAAAAGTTGGATTAGAGTATATGTTTTGGAAATTAAAAAGAGATCCGATAATTTTAATAAAAAATAAAATATAAAGGGGGTGATAGTATTTTATTCTATTAAATATCCATCAGGGTGAGCGAGCAGTGTGATGGGTTGAAATTCCCGGCTGCCAAAATTGTTGTGAGTTGGGGTAAAGGACACCGATGATGGAGTGCGCCAATGCCTGCTGCTGCTAGTGGTTGTGGTGGGCCATGCGAGCGCAGAAACACGCCACGACTTTCAGAGACTATAGTCTCACGTTAATCAAAATAATGGCAAGTTCGTCGTAGTATAGGTCGAAAGGGATGAGAAATTAAAGGCACGAAAAGATAAGATTGTGATCTTAACCAAAAGTGGTTTGGTTCAGGCAACTAGCATCTAAATTATCTTTCTTACTGTCCAACTCCACCACCATGAACATCAGGAAATGAAAATATCCGCAAAATGGGTTATAAAAAGTTCACGTCGAAGGCGTACAGAAAAGCGTCCCATGCGATGGAGACAAGTTTATTCTCGCGAGCATGAAAATCAAAATGAATAATTTGGGGAGTGGGGACAATTGAATTATTATTATTATTTTAATGCGCTGCAATCTTTGCAGCGAGACGCCCGACACTTTCTATAAATTAAATTTATAAATAGTCATACTATGTACGAACAAGTTTTAAATTGCATAAGGACGTGTAATAGTGTTTGTTAGAATCCCGGTATTGTAAGTATTATATATTATTATTAATACAAATTAAAATTAAGAGAGAAAGGGCACGAGAAAGGAAAAATTATTCTCAAGATCAACCTGAAAAATAATTTATTTGTAAGGACTATTGACAATAAATATTCATTCTGAAACTCATAAATTTGTCTTGTATGGATGGTAAACAGTTATGAATATATTTTTTTAGTTGTAAAATTATGCTGTGTGGATGGTAATTAAATACTTATAATTCAACTAATAAATTGGGCAGTGTAAATGGTAAATTTGAGATTGTTTTTAATAATTAATTTCTTAAAGTACTCCTCCATCCCAAGTTAAACTATACTTTTTAAATGAGATTTGACCGTATCAAAATATAAAATATTTTAATAAAAATAAAATTTTATAAATTATATTTTTTAATATTATTTTTTATTATATTATTTTACCCTCTAATATTCCTTTCCAAATAAACTTCATCTTTTAAAATTTATATTTTGTTTTAAAACAAATAATATCATAAAATATATTTAATAGATTTTATTGATATACATGATTTTATTTTATTTTATTTTTTGATTACAAGGCCACAGTAAAATCATGCAAAAAGATTAAGATTTAGTCATATTTAAAATCATGAAGTTTCTACATTCATGTGGTGGGACATCAAAAATTACAATATTAAAAGTATCATGTGAAGGTTAGTGAGTTAAGAGATTAGCACATCTGTTTGCTTCTTTATAAACATGGTCAAAGATGACCATTTAATCTTTCATAATAAGATCTCTAATCTTTATGATAATGTCAAATAAAGGATGACTCTCAAAGTAAGTGTGGTTAATGAGTGATAATGTCTCCATTGAATCAAAGTGAATATTAACTATTGGTAATTTTGCATTCCTGCAAAATTTTAGTACCTCAAAGATTTTTATAAGTTCTGCTGTTATGCAGGGTTGATATCTAATATATTTAAAAAAATTTTAATTTAATTTTTTTTTATCATCTCAGATGATGCTTCCACATCCTGTGATGTCATTATACGTGATTTTATTTTAAAATATTTTATGAAATAGAAAAAATAATTTAAATATGGAGTGGGGTGGAAGGTATGTGAGTGTGTCGGTGGACTAAAGGAGGCGTGCGGAGGTACGGGAGTATCAATTATGAAACCAGCGGTGGAATTGTTTGTTTGGTTGCGAGTTCTCAGAGATTGCGTTTGGGTGACTGCATCGATTGTCTACTGAGGAGCACTGATGGACCTGGGGGACTGCGAAAGGGTCACGGGTTTGGTTATGCTCTTCCCACGGATTTGAACTTGGACACAATCCTTGGTTACTCACTCAATACGCAACATCTTTGTATCCTAACTCGATAATTGAAAACAAGATTAATGAAGCAAAGCCTCAGAATTCTATTTATGATCACAAGATTTTTTATTCTTTGTTCGAAATTCGGGTAACAGAAACCGGATATGGTTGCGCCGTTCATAGTTCAGAATCTCATGTTTCAATATTGCGGTTCATTTTACTATTCTCGTTTTCTCCTAATTAATCCTGCATGAATTTCAAGGCAAATTATATTCCACTATTCTATTTTAAAAATGTCTGTAAGGTCCCGTCCTCATCTTTTTGGCACTGCATTCATTTTGAGGTTTTATATATTATCTTCTGCCTTCTTCTCATTGAGCTGTCAACAAATTGTAGTCATTCCCATTTAAAATATGTATGACATTTCTATTAATTATAAAATGACTTTTTAAATTTAAACCTATTTAAAACCATATTTTAAAAAACTTCACAAATTGTAAATAAGACTGATTTTTTTTTGGGGGGGGGGAGATAATTTAATACCTCGTCTTTTCATATAAATTGAATAGTATACAAAATTATCAAATTATGTTAAAATGTAATTAATATACAAGACAAAAAGGGAGTGTTCTTGAAAGTTTGAAATCAACAACATGCTTGGGTCTTGGGAGG